ATGCAATTAAGGAGCTAGATTCTATAAGGGGATATGCGTGGTTTTTCGGATTTATATAAATGCAATTAAATATTACCATATATATTATAATTGCAATTATCTAGTGAGAAATGACAATCGATGTCGAATCGACGTTGATTCGACGTTAATTCGATGATTTCGATGTCGAATCGACATTGATTTGATATCGATTCTATTGTCACTGGGTGAAATATTATTATAGGTGCGTTCTGATATTCATTGCCAGTACTGAAAATCTATAGCACACCTAACGTATACTATATAGTTTCAGCACTGGTAGTGAATATCGGAACGCACCCTATACATATAATTGCGTTTATAAGTCCGAAAAACTAATTCGTCACGCAGTTCAAATATCGTTTTTCCATTAGATGGCATTAAAAAAACGCCACGAACTTTTTCCCACACCTAATATTTAGTACATAAATTCACATAGTACATAATTCAAATTATTTAAGCATCTAAAATCCAACTTTGACCTTTATAGGCTTTAAAGTCTTACTTGTGTATTTACATATATGTATAGTTAATCGTTTATTATTGTTTATGTACCGCTGCCTGAAAAGTGCGTTATTATTTTTTTATATCGATTATTGCGAAGAATATTATTAAGATCTCGGTAATCTAAAGGCTTAGGATGAGAGATCCGAATTTGACTCCCGGCCGAGGAAGTCAAAAATATATATATATTTCCCGGGAGTCAAATTCTCTCATCCTTGTAACACAATAAATTTATTTATTATTATATTATTATATAGTTTTTCCACATCTTTCTAATAGAATGCCTGAATAAGCATCAAATTATTAAATTGCTTATCATTTAATTTGTGATATTATTATATTAGTTTAAATGCATTTACAGTCTGGAAAACTAATTTGGCGTGCAATTCAAATGACTACATATTTAGTATAAAAATTCACAGAGAAATTATTTAAGCTCCAGCTTCGACCGTCATTAGGTTTTAAATTCTTACTTGTTGTGAATTCACATATACGATTTTAATAAATCGTTTATTATTATATAAAAGTAGGTACTATGATCTAGCCGCGACCGTTTAATGACCTTTCTCCTTAATTGTTTAGAGTTATTGTCGACAATAACATTAGTAACAGGTAATACTAGACAAATTATTATTAATGATATTTTTACAAAATTTTTAAATTGGTGAGTTGATGATGAAAAATGTAATAAAAATTGTAAAAAAAAATGGAAAATGATTTATTTACATAAAAATAAATTAAAAATAATCCATTCATAGAACAATTTAAAATCTTTAAAATTGGTCTCTTGTATTTTTTTGTATGACTAATAGTTTTGGCAATATAATAATTTGAATGTTCGCATGAGCGACATTTCTTATAAAATTTTGCAACTTACAAGCATGAATAACTTCACAAAAAAATTTCAAATTTTTGTTCGCGAAATACTTGTCTCATATTTTTATCTGTAGAATGTCAGCAAATTAAAAAAAAAGTTTTATATGACAATATTTTAAATATTTTGCCCAGTTTAACGTAGAATATATTAAGCATAAGCAGCTTTGCGCATTCATGTAAAGGCTATTGCAAGAATTTTGATCGTAATCGTAAAGTCTCAAGCAAATCGACCAATTATAATCAAAATTGCGATGCTGACACTCATGTTTTAAAATGTTCGATTGTGATTGGCCGATTTATTTAAGGCCTTACGATTTATAACTAAAATTTTTGAACGTATGATGGTCTTAACTTAAGCTTAACAATTATTGCATGATACCTGCGCCGTAAGATATGATGCAGCCGAATCCATTATCCTCATGAATGCTCCAATACTCTGCTCGATGATTCAAGCATGAGCTGATACAGCAAACAATCGTGATATTCCGAGTGTTTAAATTCTGTTATTATAAGCTAAAGAATGAAGTTTTGTATATCTCTAAGATTCAGAGTCTCAGTATTTCTTCCTAACAATCAAAGTTCTTACGATTGCGGTCACCCTGATAAAAATAAAAATCAGAATCGTAAGTCGAATAATGAGAGAGTAACAGAAGCATAAACGAAACTTCTAGAAGGAGAAAATTGGAACAATGAAATATAAAAGAAGCATTTACGCTTTTTTTACATTTTGATATTTCAATGCTTCTGTTACTCTCCAATTATATTCGATTTACTCCGATTTTTATTTTCATCAGGGCAAGAGTGAGAATATTATTACAGTAATTTGAACAATTTACATGCGTTTATATGTGTGACTGAAAAAAATCTGAAAATCGATTATGTGATAAAATAATACATTTTACAGACTCGGTCTCGAGATCTCGAGTATTGACTACATTCAATTTTATTCGGAGAGGTCGCAATAGAAGATCGCGCTGACATTGTACAATGTTGAATTTTTTATTGCGGTTTCAGTTCCTAAATAATTTTAATCAAAAGTTTGTCGATAAAATATAAAAACTCCGAATAAAGCTGGTTGTAGTGCCGCGCCGCAAACTTGGTAGCAAATATGCAGTGGCATTCATACGTTACATGATCAGGCGATCTTAGACCTATTATTTTTACCCTATAGCAACGCTATAACATTACTTAATTTTTAATAAAATTTGCGCACGCGTTTGTGAAAATTATATTAAAAATTTTTAAAGATCAGTATATATTAACAATCTTAAAATAAAAAATTACTGAAGATTTATTGAATAATACAATAAATGAAAAAGGCTATATTCGATCAAAAGTCGATGTTGATGCTTAATAATATTTTTGTGAAATTTCTTGTTTAATTAAGCAATTCTGTTCATTAGTATTAGAATTAAATTATCGAATTATTTTTTATGAAAAGTAGCAGTAACGATAACACTTTTATTTTTATAAAATAACATTTCCAAAAAATCCTGCATACAGGATTTTTATCAAAAAAGTGTGGATACTTTATAATAATTTTTGTAAAATCGAGAAAATGTGAAAGATGTGTTTCGATATTTTAAAAAAGTTACTTTTTGTCATGGGTACTAATTATTATGCGAGAGAAAAGGGAGAATAAAAATTTCATTTTTGGCCATGGGGTCGAATCTTCCTACTCAAGGGCTTCATTTAAAAGAAGAGAGATTCCTGATAATTTTTAAATTGTTACAATATTCCTATAATAGTGACTGATCGAAGGTGATAATTTCACGAACTTGGAGTTATCCAGGATTAATTACATGGAAGTGATATGGATATTTCTCTCATGTATTAAGAAAAAATTTCCTGAATCTAAGTAATATATGTATAGATTCTTAAATTAAGTAAACATTTCCTTATTGTAAATAATATTAACTAACGTAAACATATATATTATTTGATTTAATATAATACTTCCTTTTTTTGAATAAATTTATTTGCAATAAAGAAATGTTTACTTAATATTATTCAAGAGAATATTGCTCAGAATTAGAAATTTTTTCTGTGTAGTGTGTGTGTGTGTGTATATATTTGTGTGTTCGTGCGTGCGTTAATATAATAATAAAATTAAACCAATAATTACGACCAATAATTAAATGAGCAATACAAAATTTTTTTATAAAATAATATGAGATTGTATATATTCATGTATTTTAATTAGAAAAATGTGAATACGAACAATAATCGGAAGACATTTCATACTCACAGAGTGAGTCTTCTTCAGTTACACACAAAAAAAATGTAAAACGCAATATAAAACGATTAGATCATTTCTATTGTATATTAAGTGGTCAGAAAAAAATTTTTTGTATCGTCAAGATACATCTTTCTCTTGTTTTTTTGTGCTGATAAAGATTCTATGAATACGAAACGTCTTGCGATTATTATTCGTGTCTATATCTTTGTAATTAAAATACAGTACATGAATCAACACAATCTCGTGTTGCGTTTTATAAAAAAATCTTTTATTGTTTATTTAATGGTCGTTTCATTATTGTATTAATCATATAGATGATATCTTTGTCATTAAAATACAATACATGAATACACAATCTCGTATTGCGCAATAAAAAAAATCTTTTATTGTTTATTTAATGATCGTTTTATAATTGTATTAACTATAGGTGATATCGAGCATCTTTTCTATTTGTTTAAAATCTTAAATTATTTATGCATTCTATCAAAGATTGCATACTGTCACGAAATTAATGGGGGCCAGAATTTGAGAATTTAATCTAACATGTATGTTTAACATTTAAGATTTTAAATAGAAAAGATATATGCTCAATATCACCTATATATATGGTTAATGCAATAAAAAATCATTAAATAAACGATAAAAGATTTTTTTGCGCAACACGAGATTGTGTATTCATGTATTTTAATTACAAAGATATCATCTATATGATTAATACAATAATAAAACGACCATTAAATAAATAATAAAAGATTTTTTTTATTCAAATACCTTTACATTCAAGCATACAAATACGTGCACACACAAGATCAGATTCATGCTACTTCCATGCAATTGATTCTGGACAGTGCTAAGTGTATGAAATTATCACATTTGATCGCCATTTTGAATGAGGATATTGTAACAATTTAAAATTACCAAAATTTTGTTCATTTTTAAATGGACCTCTATTCAACCCCATAGCTGCCATGGCTATTTGAAATTTTCATTTCCTCTCCCCTCGCGTACTTAAAAATGGAGGACAATCAGCATTTATGTGTCAAAAGCTTTTTTTTTTAAATAGCAGAGTACGTCTTTCACCGTTTGCAAATATTTTCGATTTTAAAAATCATTACAAGGTTTCCACACATTGATACATCCTATATAATTATACATTTTTAATAGTTGTTACTTTTATGTATTATTAAATAAAATTTTTTCTTCAAGATAAGTATAACTTACCAGCATATAATCTCCTTATTAAAGGAGTAAAGTTACTAATATTATATGCAGCTACAATTCCGTCAAACAATGGGCCATAAGGAAAATAGTCATATGCCCATTCAGGAAGAGGCAATCCTAAAGAAGATTCGGCTACGAAAGTGTGATAAAGATAGTAAAACTCCTCTAATGACTGTATGTTCTTGCCAGTTAATCTCGTCAAATTGCCCATCAAGTCCTTGAACTCACCAATCTTTGCTTGCCCTTCAGGCGAGTTCAATATTCGATTGTATTCCTCGAGGTATCTGAAAATGTAAATCGAGTTACTTTTTATATATTAGTTTTTTTAAATATTTAAAAAATTAATAGTAATATGTATGTCTTTTTAAAAACTATTCTGTAATTATATTCTTATAATCATGTAACTATAATTAATTATATAATCGAATTGCTAAAAAAAGATATTAATGCTATTTAAATTTTCACTGATTGCTCATCTTTCCTTTACATGCTTTACTTACTGTGGACACTCGTCTGAAAGAATAATATTGTCATCGATACGTGGAGTGTACAATGTCGGGATTGGTTGCCAATTTAAAAGAGGAGACCATCGTTGTAAATTTCTCGGTGGGAACAAACTAGCAAGAACAAGTTGTAGAGACATTTTTGTTCTCTCAAAATCCGAACTACGAGCTACAACAAGTTTTGGCACATACAAACTGCCAAGAAAGTCATTATATCTAGATCGCAAAAATTTTCCCAATCTATATTCGTGTTTCTTGCCCTCCTATAAAAGATTGCATAAATTCGATCAATTAATGTTAAATAAATATTCAATTAATCTTAAAAAAATTGAAAAAAAATTGATATGAATATTTATTGAAATAAAAATAATTTAATAAAATTTTTTTAAAGAAGAAACAGTAACTTTTGTAACGATGTAATATGCATTATCTTCATGTAATATGCATTATTCCCGTACTAACTAGTCGGTGCCACTCAGACAGCACAGAGGTGAATAAAAGTTCATAGGGAATTAATTTTAAAAAATACAAATAAAATTAAAAAAAAGTAAATATTTGAATAATTCTCGAAGAATCAGTTCATCTTAAAGTATTTCTCAGAAATTCATTATAATGAATACTTATAAACGAAGACTCCCAATTCAGAAATTTAAAATATTATGAAATTCTGAAAAAATATAAATGATATTCTAATATCATTATACATATAATAAGCAATTTTTTGCTGTCTGAATATACTTAAATGGGTAAAATCCTTGAAGATGAAGCCTTTTTTTTATTTCACTATTTATCAATAAAAAAGGAAAATGGAACAAAATTTCAAAGAAAAATTTATTGAGTAAAAACCTTATTAATTATTTAGTTACTCGAATTACAATTACAATTCAAAAATTATCAAAATATGAATGAACGTATTGTATAACAGAGCAGCAATAATAAGGTAACAATAATGGCTTTCCACTTAAAATAAGCTGCGTTCCAATTTTTCTATGTATTTTATATATCGAAAGCAGCAGACTTGTAAATATAGTTAAGTGAAGCACGTATTAATGTATTATAAAAGTATAAAGTATAAAGTATTACACAGTATTAGAAGCCAAAGAGAACTCAGAGAAAAATATAATTTTGACAACTGTTAAATTAACAACTCTAATAATTTAAATACTTGCAACTAGCTTTACAAAGTAATTAAAACTAAAGTAGTATTGAATACTATATTTTTATAGTATTAAATATATTTTTATAGTATTATACTATATTTTTATAGCTTTTGGTACTACTTCGGTACTAGTTCTTACTTTTTAAAATTTATTATTTATTACTATTTAAATTTTGTACTTTATAATTATCACAACTATTTTTTTCTCTCAATGCAGAGAAATATCAACATTGAGAGTACATTATTACTCCTGCTTTCATTTTTTGTTTATATTTTTTAATAATTTTTTAAACAATGAACAATAGTTTCCTAATCAATAAATCTTATCTCTTTAAGATGAATTCAAACAGTAAAAAAAATGTTTATTGCATATTAAAATATTTTCTATGTACTAAGGATATATTCATAATTTTTTAAATTTCCGAGTTTGGGGCCTTCCTGTGAGTCCTTGGAATAGTTTATATTGTACATTTAATATGGATACTAACTATATATTTATATAATACGGATACTAATTTTTTATTAAATTATTTTAATTTCAGCGATACGTGTAAACATATATATTTTATATATATTTAATTAATCATTTTGATATTTACCAATTTAGTATATTATTCTTTAAGTACTATTAGTAAATTATCTGCGAAATTAAAGCCTCGTCTCTCATGCTTTCGAAAAATGGATATAAAATATATAAACTTTAAATAAATATAACTTCTACAAAAAATGATCAGAATGAGATGTTGAAAATTTTGTTGCTTAAAATCTTTACTTTTCAGACCTTACTTTAAATAACAATTTGACTGATTTTTACAGAGCACGATTACAAATGATCCATTAAATCTCAAAACTTTTTGTGAACTTTGCAAAGTTTTATGCCATAAATGAGAAGTCGGGCACAAATACTGTTTATAGCTTTCAAAAGCGTTTCCTTTTCCTTCAATTTGCTTTTTTAATGTTGTACAATATTTTTTCACCGTGTTATTCAATATTAAAATAAAAATGATTCTTTTGATTTTGACTGCTCATATTAGGTGTAGTAAAAAGAAATCCATTATTTTTTCATTCAATGTAAAAATATAATGGATTTTTTGTTACTACACCTAATAAAAGAACGGAGTAACGTACAATATTTGTTAAAAAAGAAAAATCAATTTTAATCGCACACGATTTTTTATTCAAAGAATTATGAATGTTTATAAAAAGATGTAATACGTTTTAAAAGCGTTATATTTATAGTTCTTACTTTTTTCATAAAAAATAAACAATTTATTCTGGATAATACCATGATATAACCCAAGTAGCACAGTAGCGCTTTGTTAACGCTTTGTAAGTATTAAGCTGGAAACACAATGAAAAGCACAGGAACAGGCAATTGAAACAGGGAATAAAAGATTTCAATCTATCAGAAAACTTCCATTCTGTTATTGTTTTCTTATGGTTTCTGATAAGTTGAAATCTTTGCCTGTGCTTTTTATTATGTTTCCAGCTTTATGTGCTATTTGGGAAGAATACAAGGTTTCGTTGCGCATAGTAGTGGTGGAGTTTGGAGTATCCAATCAAAATTTACTTTGAAATGTAGCGTGACTGCGCAACACGATAGTATCATGGCAACGTATAACCTAAATTTAATCTGTCATCAAAGACATAGAGAATGCACTGCGCGATCCTATCTATATAAGTAGTATAGTCGACAAAAAGAGAGAAAGATATCGTGGATGACAGCCAATCTTCATTTCTTTCCACTCAATGAAATAATGAGAGAGAGAATGATAGGGACATTGGCCATCTTCCATGGTCCCTCTCTCTCATTTTTGTCGATTATATTACTTAGATGGGGTTTATTTTCTATCTCTTTGTCTGTCACAGATCATACAGCCATATTGCCTTTTGCATTTGTGGCAATTCTATCATTGGTCAACGCTGCGCATTTTAGGAGCGAAACACTTATATTCTTACATCACGGATGATATTATATGTGTACTTACTATGGTCAATTGTCCGAGGCCTGTCGGATAGAAAGAATAATTTATATATGGATCGTTTGGAAACATTTCGCGACCATTATTATCGGGTGTTCGATCGCCATGTCTAAATACCTATAAAGTGTAAATCATTCAAATATAGCAATTCTGGAATAATAAAGGTCAGTATTCATCAGACTGTGCAAGATTGCCAGATGTGGAAATTTTTTGCCCAAAAAAATGGCGTCTTGAAATAATGAGTGAGTGAATGAGTGAGTGAGTGAGTGAGTGAGTGAGAGAGAGAGAGAGAGAGAGAGAGAGAGAGAGAGAGAGAGAGAGAATTTCTGTGAATGTGATGATTAATGTTATCTAACAATAAGTACACTTACCACATTAACTAATATAAGCTCAAAAGGTACAGCCGCGATCAAAATTGCATTTAAACTAATAGCAATCAATAAATAGTTATTGAAATTATGACACGAGACCATATTGTTAATCTGAAAATGAAACAATGCCATTTGTTTAATTGACAGTTAGGCCTAATATTTATAAATATTAATATGATTTAAAAAATCGGAAATGTAACCATTTTAATATTTTGTCTAGGGAGACACTATATATTTACATTTAAGTCAGTCGCCAGAGGTCGCCAAAAGGAAGAAATTACAAAAACAGGTATTTTCTTGTTTAATGAATAGTTTAATATATAAAAAGACTAAATCAGAAAGTGCTACAACATTCACGAAGACATTTGGAAGTAATTAATCAACAAAATTACTTTTTTGTTTTTCGATTAAATGAGAAGAGATAACAAAAAATGATAAGAGAGCTTTTTTGTTCTCCTGCTCAAATTTCTTATAAAATAAGTACCGAGCTTTATACTTTGAATAAAATCGGAGGTACTGGCTTGAAGATAAGTGAAATTTCTTGAAGAAATGATAAAAATGGGCATTTTTTCAGTTATTGTTTTCTACATTGTTTTGAGTGCATAGGAGAATTAAAAGTGACATAAAATAAACATTATTATTTAAAGTAGACATTTGATTTGAAAAAATGAATTAAAAGTCAATTTCATGTGATTAATTTCCAGAAATATTAAACTCTATTTTTTTGACGAAATTTGTTCTTTTTTGAACATTACTATTTGAAATATTACTATTTGGTTTTTTTGTTCATATATAATGAACTATTAATTAACAAATTTAACAGTAATACAATAAAAATAAATTGTTTTGTATCAACGATGCAATGTAATAGTAAGATTGATTTATGTTGCATACATAATCAGAACTTACAGTAATTTCTCTTACCAAATTTTTTGTATCTCTTCACAGAAACTCCAACTTTTCAATGAAAAGAAAAAATTTCTGACGTCACTTTTTAAACAAATTATTAGCAAGAATAAAAAAAGTGATTATAATCATTCTTATGCAATACAATTACTATATTGTAGCCCTTGTTATTTATAACCATAATCTCTATATTGCATGTTGATGTAAAATAATTTATTTGTATTGTATTATTGCCAAACTTATTAATTATTAGTTCACTATGTATACGAAACAATGATAAGATTAGAATTGAGACCATTTTATATGAATATGTTATCTAAATACGAAAAGCGCAATTTGACGGTCAAAGTCAGATGTTGAACTAATATGTACATATATACGTATTCTTATGTAAACGAATTTATTTTAAAAATATGGTTGCGCGCCGTTACTGTCGAACTTTTAACGCAGTCCATCTGAAACAACATTAATAATCTCTCCAAATTAAATATTAAAAAAACTAATTAATGTTTTAACATTGAAAAGGAAAACGTCGATTGAAACATATGCGGATTATTTTCGATGAGTAAATATTAACTTTTGCGCACCAACCGCGTAGGCTCTTAATTGGCTTCTTAGAGTTTTAGATCAATGTCGATCGGCATTTAGGCTGCGCAGGTTGAAATAAGGAACCAAGCTGAAAATCAAATGTACAAGAAAAACAAAATGTGCAAGTAAATCTCAGCATTGTTTTAGATGATTTATTCTCAGAGCTTTATATACATATTTTTAAGTTATATTGTAATCATATGGAGTTGAATTTAGACTCATTTTTTCAGGTCTACTTTATCATATATCACTTTTAACTCTCCGATTTAACTCGAACGATGCACTCAAAACGATGCAGAAAACAATAACTAAAAAAGTACCCATTTTTGCCGTTTTTTCATAAAATCACTCATCTCTCTCTCTCTCTCTCTCTCTCTCTCAAACTACTGTATCGCTGATTTTTAGTATAAAGTTCGATACATATTTATTTTGTAAGGAATTTCAGTAGCAACAAAGAAGCTCTGTTGTCATTTTTCATTATCTCTTCTCGTTTTTAGTTTCTTTTTATTTTTCGATTAAAATTCTTTTTGAATTTTAATCGAAAAACCAAAAAATTTTATTGCTTAATTATTTTGTAATGCCTCCTTTAAAATTGCAGCACTTTCTATATAATTTAGTCTTTTTATAGTCTTTTTATGTATATCTCCAAACTGTCAATTAAAACAAGAAAATACCTGTTTATAATTTCTTTCTTTCTTGCTACCACTTTAATCTCTGACGATTGGTCTACTAATAATTTGAAAAATCGAGATATATATATGTGTACTTGTAACATACTATGCATATATTTCAGATATACAGAATGTCCTTAACCTACGGGATCGCAGATCGCGGACTGAAGCGAAAGTCTTATACCATTTTACCATTTTTGCAATAGTTAACAGGATATTAATTTTTAAAAATAGCTGAATATGCGTGTCCCAGTCTACTAATATCAAGTATACGCATCAATCGCTTGGCGTGCGGATCGCGGGGAGCGAGGATGACCTACAGGCAAGGGTTCGAGTTATGACCATGGTGGAAGTATTACATAAAGTTTGCATGCTCCAACATGTTCCTACTTCTTTCAATCATAGTTCCTACTCAACGCGTTCATTAGAATGAGTAGGAGCTATGGTAGAAACATGTTGAAACATGGTGGAATATGCGATGCGAACAAACTTATAGAGTGTGCAGTTTGGCCAAACCATGCCTACTTTTGCTTCGCATCGTCAATAGGATGCAAGAGCTACCAATTGTAAAATGCGGGACGGTATTCCGTCCTTATTTTAAAATCATCTTAAATAATGTCTTAAGATGCTAATATATCAATCCTCAGATTAATTTACGATCTTAAAATTGTACTTAAGATTCTTAAATGTAAGAATCGACTGATGTCAAACAAGAAAAGACTCAATTTCATGACACGAAACAGGCTAATATTCATAGTTCTTGCATTTAAGACTGTCTTAATTACAGTCTTAAGATGTCATAAGTCAATCCAAGAATTTATAGACGGAAAGCGCAGAGAGACACTTTAGAAAGAGACACTGTCCAACTGCATACCCATGTTATCCCTTCCATCATGATTATAACTTTAGTAGTTTAATAATAACTTGCGGAGATATGCACGGCACAAAGAGGTTGTATATACAGAGTAGGAGAACCAGCTAAGAATGCGTGAGCGAATAGAAAGAAACAGAAAACGAGATAGCCAGAGAGAATCAAGAAAGAATGGAATGGATTCACCCGGAAGTCGCCATGTTTAGTAAATTTGTTAAAGTAAACATTGTTAAAGTGAGTAGAAGATAGTAGGAGTGGTAGGAAATGGAACACGGTGCTACGCACACTTGTACCGCACTAGTATTATATTAGGTGTAGTAAAAAGTCTATTATTTTTGCATGAAATTGACTGGAAAAATAATGGATCTCTACATCTAATATGTATGACATATATGTATATATACACACATGCATATTTGCGGAAGTGCGCTAGACATGACAGAACCAATCAGAGAAGAGAATCATTCCCTCCATCCACTTTCCCTTGATTCTCTCTGGAGATAGCCGCAGCATCCTTGTTTATGCGATTATTTATTATTTATTATTATGTTGATTTTTATTTTTAGGTGGAGAGATTTCAGGAGAGCAACATATATCAATGCCGTCTCCCTCAGCTTTCAAAGTTCTATGCATTGTGCAATATTAAACAAAAATAAAGATGGCCATCCCCTATTCTTTCCTTTTCTACTAACATCTCCATTTACAGAGACCCCTATCCCTTGCCTATTCTATATATGTATACTATCTTTCACATGGTATGGAACGTTTGCCAGACAGTTCCCATTCCTCGCGCGCCAAACTATCAATAGCAGATATGCTTTAGAAATTAATATCTTGATTTCGAAAATTGAGAAATAATCGAGAACTTTTCGAGAACTGAATTTAGTTTTCTCCAAAGTGTGCATGTGTACATACAGAAAAATGTTACATAAATATTTGTAAATAATAAAAATCTTAAACAATAAGAATACCTATTATTTTTACTGTACCAAAAGCCTATATCGATTAAAGCTGGATCGTTAATGCTTTTTAAATAATTTTTATATGAATTTATATACTAAATATGTAATTTTTTATTTATTTAATCGGTATAGGCTTCTAGTTTATCGTTTATATTCTCACATATACAATAATATTTTTATTGTTTATATTATGTCGCCTAAAAAAAGACATTATTTCTTTACATATCCGATACATTCCGACTATTGCGAAGAATATTAAGGCCTTGGTAGTCTAAAAGCTTAGAACGCTTGTACGGAATACAAAAAATCCAAGTTCGATTCCCAGCCGAGGTAATATTTTTTGCAATAAATTTATTTACAATTTTTTAGTACATTAACACCTTTCTAATAGGATGCCGGATTGCGCATCAAATTATTAAATTGCTTATCATTTAATTTGTGACATTACTGTAGTAATTTATATTATATTACGTTCATAAGTTTGAAAAATCCTTTCGGCACGCAGTTTAAATAACTATATATTTAGTATATATTCACATATAGAAATTATTTAAAAAGTATTAAAGATCCAGCTTCGACCGGAATAAGAATCTTATTTTAGATGATATATGTGAGAGCACAATCAATATACAATCAATATATTACAAATATATAGTATATCATATGTTATTCGAACTGCGCCCCGAATTGATTTTTTGAACTTATAAACGCAATTAAACTACTGTCACAATATCACGAATTAAATTAAATTGACAAGCAATTTTTAATAATTTGATGCTGATTAGGCATCATATTAGAAAGATATTAAACTACTGAAAAACTGTAAATATACTAATTTCTAATATGCTGCCTGATTGAGGATTTCTAATTATTAAAAATTGCTTGTCAATTTAATTTAATTCGTGATATTAGTACAATAGTTTAATTTGCGTATTCGTTTGCATAATTCATTTCTCAGATATAAATTAATTCTCCGTTTACAATCAGATGCCTTCACCATACAATACAGAAGACATATCTCTAATCAATATGTCTTCTGTATTGTATGATTTCCAATTAATCGACAGAATTTTTAATACAAAGGAATAATATAGCCTGTTATTAGTAAGAGAGTAATCAATTAACTAATAAGATGATTATGAGAAATAATTTTATATACTCATTGACTATATATTCCGAACGTAAATATAATTTTTAATCAACAATTATACATGTATTAATTTTGTAATATTTTTGCGACTGAAAGAGATTTTTGTAAATTTGGAATTAGTTTCGCTTAATGTATTTTAAACATTAAATTCTATTACGATATTTAAAACATCTTAATTTATTCGCTCGTCTTTGGCCGAATTTTAATATTATTTTGTGTTTCAATAATGACCAAGTTATCATTGTTTATCTTTTTAAAAATAAATAGTTTAACTCCGGTATATATGCTACTAGATAATCCTTTTCTAACATTTGATTCTAACATTCTTTTTTTAGGGCATCATCTGTTTGTAAAAATTGCAAACAGATTTAACAAAATGATTCTGTTAAATCTGCTTGCATTAGCGATCCACTAATCCGCATATGCGCGATCCGCTGCATGGAATATTAGGAACAAAATTGTCGCGTACTAGCGTACGTAAAACAGCGGAACTGATCGGATCTTTCGATACGTGAATATGCGCGTACGGCGATACGCGTCATAAGACGATACTCTGAGGTTTTGACTCTTTTTACATCGAGCACTTAGTATGCATATTAACTAGTAACTTTCTATTAAATTATCTTAATCACTAAAAAAAAAATATATTTTTTTAACCGTTCAGTTGTTTCGTGTTAATGTCAGAGACATTCTATTTATGTATCTCAAGAAGATTACATTCTACAAAGTAAGAGAAATTTTGTACAACTATAAAGTACTGAAGGATTATGATTGCAATCCTCTCAATGTTAGCAGAATGTCTTGTTTATATTGATGCACGCGTAGTACGTAAATGACAAACTTCTTCTAAACAAATAAGCGTGCCGCTAGTATCTTGTAGCCTCTTGTTTCAAAAGACTATTCGAGTTATTATAATAAAATTTTCTATAGAGTAGAGGAATTTATTTTTGATCATAGTACATATATCCTCATATGTCCTCATTTTTAGAGATATAGATATATATTATATAATAAGTATAATAAGTATACGTGCTTGATTCATGTAAGATTTTTTTGCTTAGAGAAAATGCTAAAAGGAATTTCCAGCTTAGCAAAATGTTTTTTGGAATGATTTGGAATGAATTTAAAGAATGATGAATTAAATTGATATAATATGCATCATGATTAATTAAATACTCATATCATATATGTATATATGTTTACATGTATCACCGAAATTAACATAGTGTAAGTGACAGAATTCTGTCACATGTTAGATCAATGTATATTAAAAGCTGCTATACATGAAATTAATAAAGTTAAATATAAAAACATATAAATATTTTGAACTATGATATTATTACTAATGATATTATTATGTTATTTAACAAAATATATATGTATCATTTCATTGTTAGGTATTGTTATTGATTATATAGCTGTATTGAGATATTTTATAACTGCATTGAGATGTTTTACATAAAGCGATTTTTAATATGCACTGATCCAGCGTGTGAATGATCGAATTCATCATAAAATAACTCAATAGAAAGTTACTAATTAGTATTCGCATCAAGTGCACGATGTAAACTAGGCCTTTAATCATGGCGTGAATAAAATCATCGAAAGGCTCCACGCGTATGCTTTTCTACTAATGTCACACACGAAAAAAGCAGAATTTTCATTTGTTACCGGTCACTACTCATCTCAGTTCTATATTAGCACTGAAACTATTATAACGTCCCCAGACAGCAGACAATATTTATAAAATATTTACAAAATATTCATAAATATTTATAAGGCTTATTTTAAATATTGTTATTTTGTAAATTTTTATTTTTGTGATCTTAAATTGCATAGATATCATAAACATATATATGTAAATATTATGAAATATTTATTGTAAATCTTGTAGTAAATGCTATAGAAATACTTAATAAAACATTAAAATTCAAATTAATAAAAAAAATAAAAAAATACTTAACAGGAATATTTATACTTGTCATAAATATTACATTAAATATTTAGTTTATCTTTTAATAATATTTCGAATAAAGCTTATGTAAAATATGTATAAAATATTTATATAACATTAAAAAATAATAATAAATAATAATAAATATTTATCATAAATATTCAGTGCTGTCTAGGATGTAGTATACATCGGTCGGCAGATCAGTAGGATGATACTTTGAAAAGAATTTATAATAAAAAATTGCTAGTTTTGCTAACGAATGAATAATCGAGAAAGTTGTCCATCGATCACAAGATTCGTACTATTTTATTAAAATTTTCTTTTTTATGAACAATTATGATAAATCTACGTTATTTTTACAATGACGTCAGATTTGTTAAAAATGACCAATTACGTCAAATAGATGATACCTGGGATTGTTTTTAAAATGTCGCAGATTAAATCAAGAATGGATATCCAATTAAATAAAAACTAATGTAATTAACATCACAAAAATATTTTTTTTAAACAATTTAATTTTTAGTTTTTTAATTTTTTTTATTAATTTAATTAATTTAATCTTTAACTTAATCTTTAATTCAATTAATTTTATTATGGATTAATTTGTATTCTTAACTAGTTTCAAGGTTGTTAATTTTAATTTAACTTAGTTTTAAAAAATTTAACTTACCCACAACTTTGATATAATAACAATGAATAATTGTTCTATCAATATTTGAAAAATTATAGAACTGACGCATATATATGTATATTTGTGATTGTATTATATTTTTTCCGGAAGTTAGATTATTATTTTCAACGTTTTATCAAATGGCATCTACCGTCAAACCCGAATTGAAAAAATCTGTTGAGCTACTGCCAATTGTAAGTATGAACTGAATACTGACTTTTTCTCATAGCATGTAAGGCTTTTAAGGTGCACGAGTGTACGCCCCACCACGTTATATTTCCTGTCCGTTTTATCAGACATCATACCGTCATGACGCACAAATTTATTAGGAGAAGTTTATTCTATAGTTTATTTTTCTGAAATAATGTAAGAAATAAATATCATTTCTCAAGTAACAAAGTTTATCTTTGAGAGTCTAATATTTTATATATATAGTCATATTTTAATTCATTTAATTATATTTTGCGTGACAAAAATGCGGCGGGGATTTACGAAAAACTGCAGGATTTCCCAGCGAATAAATTATTCCATTGCGATTTAATTAGGAAGAAATAGATACGTCAGGAACTAAATGCGTTACGCGAAAATCTCATGAATATCTTGTGAATGTCGTGAATGTTGTGAATCGAATAGATAGAATACACTCGTCAAAATTCAATATTCTTATATAATTATATTACACATCCCAGGTAGCAAACTGTAATCATTTTGACGTCGATAGTTAGTCATTTTGAATTGTTGACGTCATGATCTATTTAAGAAAAAGTAATAATAACATTATCTTTTTTACCAATTAATGACGTTTATTTATGACATATTTACAACATCATACTTATTGACGTCAGATAAATGATTAATCGACGACGTATTGGTGATCATATACGATAACGTTATTAGTGATCAATTAATAACGTCATTTATTTATATTAGTTATGTCTTACTTCACCAACCCATGCACAGTCTAAATCGATCGGCATTTAGGTTGCGCGTGAGTTGGTAAGGCGCAAGACTCGGCGGAAATGTGCAAGTAAATCCCAACACTGATTTATGCCGTTAATAATACGAAAATAATGACATATTTTCGACGTTGGTTAATATGACATAGCTGTGATAAATTCACGTTATTTTTACAATGATGAATAGGATGTCAGATTTGTTAAAAATGACCAATTACGTCGAATAGATATCTGGGATTGTTTTTAAAATGTCGCAGATTAAATCAAGAATGGATATCCAATTAAATAAAATGTAATTAACATCACAAAAATATTTTTTTAAAATGAAATTCAATAATTTTATAAATTTAATGTAATTTTATAAATATACATATATATTATGTAACGTCAAAATCTTTTATTACTTCAAGAGAAACACACAATTATTCAATATTACATAATACGTAAAATATGTATGTAAAAATATATATTAACAACATTTATATGATTTTTTCTTCAAATTCCTTTGTTCATGAAGAATGTAATAATGTAAATGCAATTGATGTTATATAATCACAATTCATAATTTCATTCATTATGTATGTTTAAAAATATGAAAATTGCATCAAAATATATGTTATTTACGCAACAAAACACATAACAGTATTCAGTTATCATGTCAATAGTATTAAAAAAATTTACCGACTTGAATCATATCATTCAGTAGGTATATAAATTAATAAAAATAGATTAATAAAATCTAGTAAATTTATTTAATAAATTAAATACATATGAATCGCTGGATAATAATCTTGGAGCAACGATTGCTAAATTAAAATTCTTATCTGTAATTTAATAATATAATTTAATATAATTTAATAATATATTTAAGTTAATAATATATTTAAGTTAATATATATGGTGGAACAGTATCTCGTTCCATCTAAAATGTCTTGGCTATTTTTAGAAATATGAAATAATTTATTTACTGAAATTGTATAACATCAAGAGAGATAGATATAATATGCTACTAATAATTTTTCTATGGATGAAAAACTTTCAAAGTGACCTTTATTTTTTTAAATTGATGAATGAATTATATGATTTTTTACATATAATTGCACTAATTTTTCTACATATAAATATATTAGAGATATACAAAAAATCAGTAGTTTACGACATATTGTATATTATATAATTCTCTCATATTTTGATATATAATATTAAATATTTCGTAAACTTAATTTTTTTGATAATCAGACCTTAATAAATATTAAAAAACCTTATTAAATATTTTTATAAACAGAATAATGAGATGAATCAATTAATATAAAGAAAACACATAGTTGCTTCAAAAAAATATGCAGACAAAATATCTTTATAAATGAGCGAATATGCGTTTTCTTTACATCATTAAATTATATTTAAAATTCAAAATTTGTAAAGCAAATATAGCAAGTATATTTAAATTTATTCGCCTCATTAATTAATTTATAAAAGTATTATGATTATCAAAAGTTGGGAGGGCTTCGCTTGCCTATAAAATTTGCTTCGTTTGCACACAGCAATATTGCACACAGAGTTTATATATACAACAATATTGCATACAGCACATTGCACACACCACTTTGTACACACGATGCTATTGGCCCTTTACATCGTGTACTTGATATGTGTACTAAGTAGTAACCCAAAACAATAAGTCATGATAACGTCAAAATGATATCGTAACTTGTTGTTTTACCTGGAAACTTTCTATTAAATTATTTTCATTTTAGCGATGTATTTAAAGAATGATGTACTAAATTGATACAATATGCATCAAAATGATTATTTATATACACATATGTATATGTTTACACGAATCGTCGTAATTAAGATAATTTAATAAAAAAATTACTAGTTAGTACCTGTATTAAGTGTAGAATGTAAACTAGACCAATAGAGTCGAGTGTGCAATGTGCTGTGTTCAATATTGTCGTATGTGCAATGTGCTGTGTGCAATATTGCTGTATATGCAATACGCTATGTGCAATATTGTCATGTGTACAATGTACTATGTGCAATATTGTCGTGCATGCAATGTGCTGTGTGCAGTATTGTCGTGTGTACAATACATTGTGTGCAATATTGCTGTGTGCAAACAAAACTGTAAGCAATCGTTTTGTAGGCAAACGGGGATTCTTCCTCAAAAGTTAATACGTGATATTTAATACTTTGTCGACATGTGCTACAATAAAGTATAAAATATCTCATAAATTATTGATTTTTTTTGATACTTCTTTAATACCTTTTATACGCAAAATAATTAGAGGAATTATATTACGTAGAAAAATCATATAATTCTATTAAACAAAATGGAGATAACTTTGAAATCTTCGAAGCGCCTCCATAGAAAAATTATTACCAGGTATATAAAAATGAAACCGGAATTTATCAATAGATGGCCATAGCTATCAATGTAGTTGCCGTCAGATGGCGCCAACTTCCTTGACGCCATTTCCTTGTTTTGACATCTGACAAAGATTTTCAACTCACAATAATACAAGTTTCATACAACAGTATAGTTTGTAATAGCGTTGAACATGTCGAATTTTGTGCCTGGAAACGATTTACAGACAGCATTGATTTTCTGTTACCATTTGAAGAAAACTGCTGCAGAATCGCATCGAATGCTTGTCGAAGCTTACGGTGAGCATGCTCTTGGTAAATCACAGTGCTTTGAGTGGTTTAAAAAATTCAAAAGTGGCGATTTTGACGTGAGAAATGAAGAACGCGGAAAAGTTTGAAAACTGTGAATTGCAAGCATTGTTGAATGAGAATGACGCTCAAACTCAACAACAACTCGCGGATCAATTGAATGTGACACGAAAAGCCGTCTCCATACGTTTGAAATCTATGGAAAAGATCCAGAAGATGGGAAAATGAGTTCGATATGAACTGAATGAAAGACAGGAAAACCGAAAAACCACTTGCGAAATGCTGCTCGCCAGGTACAAAAAGAAAGTTATTTCTCCATCGAATTGTGACTGGCGATGAAAAGTGGATATATTTTGAGAATCCTAAGCGTAAAAGACCATGATCTTTTACGCTTAGGATTCTCAAAATATATCCATTTTTCATCGCCAGTCACCTGGGTAACACTAGGTGAACCATTGACATCGACTGCAAAGCCAAATCGATATGGACGGAAGACAATGCTCTGTTTGGTGGGATCAGAAAGGTGTGATCTATTATGAGCTGCTAAAATTTGGCGAAACTATTAATACTGAACGTTACCGACAACAAATGATCAATTTGAATCAAGCTTTGTGTGAAAAACGACCAGAATATCAAAAAAAGCAATACAAAGTGATTTTGTTTCATAATAATGCACCATCACACACAGCAAAACTGGTCAAGGAAACGATTGAGGCATTTGGTTGGGAAATACTTTCGCATGCGGCTCACTCATCAGACTTAGCTCCGTCCGATTACCACTTATTTGCATCGATGGGACACGCACTTGCTCAGCAGTGCTTCACTTCTTACGAAAATGGCTAGATGACTGATTTGGCTTAAAAGAGCAATAATTTGGCGTGGTATCCACAAATTGTCAAACAGGTGGAAAAAATGTATAGCTACCGATGGGCAATACTTCAAATAAAATATTTTTTATCATTTTCATGCAATAAACATGTATTTTCTAAAAAAAAATTCCGGTTTCATTTACATACCTGGTAGCATTTTGTATCCCTCTTGATGCTATACAATTTAAGTAAAAACATTATTTCATTATGTCTGAAAATAATGAGATATTCTAGATTCTAGATTGTTCTACCCTATATATTGTAAATTTTAATTTATGTGCACCAAGGACGCATCTCGTTTAATCACGTGCGATTGACATAACCATTCGTATCGCCCAAGATTAGAATTTTTTCATTAGTCAAGCGCTGTGAGTGGCTTGTAATCAATTGTAACGTGGTAAAAAATAATCAATATATAAATTATATTGATATGTTAAATTTACATTAAATATTTTAACAAAACATCTTATATTATTTAACTCATTATTTAGTCGCTGATTTTTTAATTGTTTTGCGTTGCAAACTT